GTTCGGACTACTTACAATGTCAGTAGTTCAGTACGGTCACCTAGGTAATATAGGCGCAGGCGCGCGGTCAATACTTGTTAGAAGAGCAGAATGCGTGGCGTCTGGTCTCCGTTCCGTTCGTCTCCATTCGCCAATTTCAGGTGGCGAGAGTCATATGATGCGATCCCATTGGCTCAGACGATCTCAGCTGAGGTCTGGTATGATTATCGGCGGCTTGTATCGTGTCAGAGGCAGCTGAATTGTTTTCCTAAGGACCCCTGCTCCCTATATAGCGACTTTCAATGGTCCAGCTGTTATAGAATGAAAAAATGACATATAGTAATTTTTGATGAAATTTTAGAGACAGACATTTGTTTCAAACTAGACATCTTCCATCTGTCTCTTGAGATAAAAATCTTTGCTATTTTTTTTACATTGTTATTCTTTAAGAATCGAGAATAACAAAACATGATTTCGAGTTAAAAACCACGAAGAAAGATATTATTTTAATGACATTTAAATTTAAATCAATATTATTCAGAGATATGTTTGCCAGTTAAAAACATTTGTATGATATATGAATTTAGCAACAATAATCACTGGCACAGGGATCTTCTTAATTTGCACTCGTACAAAATGTGGAAATCGTGAAAAATCTGAACATTTGTTGCATCATATATGACAAGTTGTCTATAAAAAGAAGCGGTGATTGTCAGTCGATTGTCAATAAATTTTTATACAGTTTGCGAGATGCAAATGTGATAACCATGTGTCAAACGTTACCACTGAGTGTTGTTTACGCAATGAATACCAAAGAGATACGTGGAAGTCAACTATTAACACACGTTTCTTCAACATGTTTGTTAGAAATGCAGTTTAATACAATAACGATGGCTAGAAAAAATGCAATGTATTGTATATTAACTAGTTCATATATAATTTTTTAAATAAATTTATATACAATATATATAAAAAGAAAATAAGTTGCAATTTTTATGAAAAAGTATAAAAAACTTATAATGTATAAATATAAAGAATAAATAACTTTCATAAATAAATATAACTAAATACGCACACACATAGTTATATTTATTTATAAAAAGGTGATTTATTTTATATATATTATATATTTTTTACACACACACTGTACTTTTTTATAAATTTTCTTTCTGTTGCCAATATTATAATTTTACATTAAATATAATATTTAAATATTGTTATTAAATTACAAATAATGCGTAAAAATTTACAAGTTATTAATATAGATACACAATAAAAAGTTGCACTTTGCACACATTATCTAAAATATAATTACCTGCATCAGAACTGATTTTATTTAATCGAATGTAAATATACGACATTACATAATATTGTTCTTAACTTTCTAATTAAATTTGTATTAATTTTTTGTATCAAATATACTACATTTGTTATACGAGATTATTTGATTAGATTATTTCGCGTTACGCGCGTAATCAATTAATAATACTTATACGAATGTATGCATATCTTTATTAGATAAGAGAAATGTGCATTGGTTTACTAATAGACCGCTACAATATTGCAGCGATTATCTGCACGCTAAGTCAACGTCATGGTCGTCTTGAAGAATGTTACACCGAAAGATATAATTATCTTTTCACATCAAATGAATATAATCTTGCGTTATTATCTTAAATTATTAAAGCTAAACAACAGATTTTTTATGATCGAAGTTTTATATTTTAATTAGCACACTCCAGTTACATTGTAGTTAAAGTTACATTGTAGTTATATGTATATCCAAACAAGATTACAATATATATCGTAATTAAATTTTATCAATGTGTGCAATGTATACGTTATATATATTCGTGTATATATACATGTTCGATATTTAAAAAAATAATTTTGTATTGTTATAATTCAGAAATGTTATTTAAAAATATATATATAATATATAATAAATTTTTTTAATTTATTATATTGCTATAATAAATTATGTCTTAATAAAGATTAAAATGTTAGGTCGTGTAATTGGATATAAAAAAGAGACAAGTAGTGACAATAAGTATTCTTATTCATATCTCTTATCTTTTTCTTTCTCTCTTACTATGACATGTCGTAGTAAAAATTGATTATACTACACCTTTGTTTATCTAGCTATTCGGAGTTTCCGAAAAGAAAAAAAAATATAAATCGAATATCGAATTGTTTACATTGGTAATGATTATTGTGCCCTGTCAGCACAATCGCTCGATGCATATGTACATGATAAGCATAAATCTAAAGATAACTTTCTTTTTGATTGCTGCTGTATCACGATATCGTCATGATAAATACTAATAAGTGAATGATCGTGAAAAGTGACCCTGACGCGATACAACCTTGGCAATAATCGCGTACGTTCGAACGAACCGAGTTCTTGTATATGTAAAATTCGCGTTCTCAACCTTGTATAGCTATGAAAGTCAAGACATATATAAATATAAAATCAACCGGGAATCAATGTATCAATGTATGACAGACCATACGTGTAATATGAATACTGAAGAACGAAATGTAATAGTAATATATGGCACATTTCTTTTTACGTTCTATTGAATAAGTAAACAAAATGGAAGGTACTTACGACACAAAAGTCATTAATACATTTCCCAGCGACTGCGAATAATTTATTATGTATACATCTTATTAAAATAGTGAAAGAAAATAATACGCAACTTTTGTTACAATTAATGGCACGTGTATTCTCTAGGCATGACTTCGGAAAATAATGTATAAAGGTGAACTCATTGACCTTTTCAAATACAATATATCGTATGAGTAGCCACTTTTTATTCTGCTCATTAGTATCGCTGCATAACACGTGGTTTATTTACGCGATAAATATTGTTTATACTAGAATTTTTCTACAAAATGTGTCCATATATAATTCTCTCTTTGTTTTTATTTTTTAAATTAAATTAATTAAATAATTGGTGCATATACAAATAATAAAAGTGATGAGAAAGAATTGCAAGAATTGCATCTTGTGCATTATCATATTCTCTTTCGTGCAAATTTGTCACTTTGATTCGAGATAATAATTTTATCCTTCGCGACCGAGCTGTCGCTCGAGGATCAGCTGATCGCGCTTTCCTCTGACAAGCCGAGGTTTTCACGCAAGCGGCGGGAATATTGTGTTTGCCGGCGTTTCGGCGAGTCTGCGCCTGGATGACGTCCGTCGAGGATCCAGCCGGCAGTCGATAGTTGGTCCTCGACCGGTTCGCATCTTTTCAGGTCACGCGCGGGGAAATACATTTTCGTATATTTGCGGAATTCAGGTCGACGCCTGCAGTCTTTTACGGTACCACGATACACCTGGCTGTGTACGTATATTCGGTGATTTGGGAACTACCTGATGGCATTCGAGTTGATAAGAAAATCAAGTGGATGTGAATAGAATAAAAATATAAAGAAAACAATTTTTAACTAAAAAATTCGAGTGTTCGTATATCCAAATGATATTAATTCTTGCTCAGTGTCCGCAGTTACTTAATGTAAAACCGTTCTGCCTTATTATCTTGGAATATAATCAATATGTTGTGTATGAACAGTCATTCTCTCCGCGGGTTCATTAACATCATCAACGTGTTTGACTTGTAATAAAAACACGTGACACACGTGATTTATTATTAATCGCAGGTATATGCTGAAAAATATTAAACAAATAGAAGTGGACTCTACATAACGCAAATTTCTGATTTAAAGTTATACCAGTTGAAAACTCTACCATATAACATCGGTGAAAGTCTTACAGGTGTTATTTCTCCAGAGAGAGAGAATGCGCTGTTACCGAACACTGATGATCAATTAAACAAGCGAATATGTTAATGCAATCGCAGCTTTTTCTAGACTATAATACATATATTCTCGATATTATCTCGTCTCCTGATGTAATCATTTCGCGAGTCATATATTACCTTCCGTATAGTAATGTACACAGTAAAAAAAAATTGTGTTAAATTTAACACATTTTAACATGTCCCAATTTATCAGCACTCTAATTTTAATGTTAATTTAACAAAAACAATTATGTAATTAAATAATCCATTCGTAATATGTGAAAAAATAACACAAAAAAAATATAATATAAGCAAAAATTCGTACATTTGCATTTAATTGTTGTTGTTTTAACACTTAAAAATGATGTGAATATTTGCAAATTAATGTCAAAATAACGTAACGACAATATATTAACATAAGAGTATGTTATAATTTTAACACAAAAATTTCTACACAAGATAATTTCAACAGAAATACGAAATGTTTTTACCGTGTAATGCGTGATAATTATAAGCTTGATAATATCTAACTACTTTTCGTAATACTGCAAATAGCTAGGAAAGAGATAAAAGCATACATTTTATATTTGTCCTGAACTCATATATTTGTCATTATTGATAGATTTTAATTATTCGTTCTTTCGTCCATTATCGTCGTTCGACTCTTGTGAAACTTTTGATTGCAGATAATTACGAAGCCATGACGCGAACTACATTAGCTCCATTAAATAACGAGCCACGTGCAAATATAATTATCATCACGGCAGTCTCAAAGAAATTCTGTTATTATTCTTATTGGTCCTCGTTAACTTTTTTGAAACTTTTTTAAAAAATGAGCTAATATAATTTCGCAGATAATATATAGCGTCTAAAATTTTTTGTAAGTTTCGTAATTTTTGCAAAATTAAAAGTTTTAATTTATGTTATAATTCAGTAATCATTTATAAATTCTTTTATTTGTTATTTTTTAATTTTTTATATTGCTCTCTTAAATAAAAAATTATTTGTATGACTAATTAAGTTACAATTACGAAATTTGCAAAAATTACGAAATTTACAAAAAATTTCAGACGTTATATATTATCTGCGAAATTATATTCGCAGATAAAATTAAATTTTTTGGACGTAATCGTCAGATGCAAGATTTGTGTTTATTAAAAACCGCGCTTTATACAAAATTAAATACTAAATAGAAATTTTTTTATATGTTAACAGGCTTTTTTAAGTAAACATGGCACCGAATATAATCAGCACCCCGACAGGAGTGCTCTTCGAAGACGAAACTTTGACCGAGCCGCAAGTGAAGGAGGAAGTTACAGAAAAATCAAAATATATTAGGCGCATCGTATGGAGGAATGTGGGAGTTTTTTCTTATTTACATCTTGGAGCTCTTTACGGACTTTATCTATGTTTTACGTCCGCCAAATTGGCGACCATCGTTTTCGGTAAGAGAATCGATTTTATCTGATATTTATGAAAGATACCTATATTCTTTATATAAAAAAAGAATCAATTTATTTTAATTGTTCTATCTTTTTATTGCTAAACGTTTTATCCTGTTATACCTAGGATAATTTTATTAAAAATTGAAAACAAATAATATATAATTTTAATAGCGAATAAAAATGATTATCTTCTTTTGTTTCTTTATAATAAAATAAATTAAAAATACATTAGATGTAAATACAAAATAAATTAAAAATAAATTAAATAAATTTCAGAAGTAAAATTTTTGAAAACTGAGAATAATGTCATACATATAGTATACGCGCTTATAATTATTTTGCAAATACATCAAGATTTTTATTTATTTGAAAATCTTGATCTATTTGCAAAATAATTATAAGCGCGTATACTATATGTATGACATTATTCTCAGTTTTCAAAAATTTTACTTTTGAAATTTATTTAATTTATTTTTAATTTATTTTGTATTTACATCTAATGTATTTTTAATTCATTTTATTATAAAGAAACAAAAGAAGATAATCATTTTTATTCGCTATTAAAATTATATATTATTTGTTTTCAATTTTTAATAAAATTATCTTAATTATTAGATTTGTTAGAATAAATACAACTATTATTAAATTATATTGTTATTATTATAATTATCATATAATTATATTATCAATATTATGAATAAATTATAAATAATTTTCTGATTTGTATTGTTAATTTTACATTTTGAATATATAAATCGCTTCATTATTATTATTTTAAAATTTGATGAAGCTTGTTGATGAAGATGACAAATTTGCGTTTAATATCATAATTTTCTTGATTACAGCAATCGTGTTATATCAAGTGACTGGCATCGGAATTACAGCCGGAGCTCATAGATTATGGGCACACAGATCCTATAAAGCCAAGTGGCCTCTGCAATTGCTGCTCATGATTTTCAATACTATAGCTTTCCAGGTGCGTAATTTAGTTTGCACAGAAAAACTCAAAGGGAGAGATTTAATAAGATAATACTTACGAAAATCAGGATATATCGAATAATTTGATAATTAATTAAATTTCTTGTGATAAAATAGAATGTTAAAAACTTTACTTTAGGAAAGATGTCAGTTGATCTCATTAGATATACGAATATTGAACAATATAGTAATCAATCGAATAGGTAGAACTATGAAGTAGAATCGACTCTTTTTTGCAGCTAGAATTCATGTCAATGCGGTGATGTCGAACATAAAACACGCATCGCGTGTAAACAATGGAAAAATAGCATAATTCGCGTTACATCGTTAGAGATTGGCTAAACAAGCGATTCGCGTTGTTAGGGAAAAAAAAGTATTCTTCATGAATTCAAGAATATAGGTGGCATGTATATTATTTTCGCGATGTATCGATTTTTTATTGATAGGACATGAACAAACATATTCAGTATTTTTATTCATAACGAGAGAAATATTATATATATAAATATAGTAAACAATATGCAGAATATATATACAAAATGAATGACGGAAGTATATTATTTTCGCTTTGCGCAGGCGAAATATATTATAGTCTTTCATATCAATATTGATAATAATATAATTTTGTGAAATCCAGGATGCCGCGATCGATTGGGCCAGAGATCATAGAGTTCACCACAAATTCAGCGAGACCGATGCCGATCCACATAACGCTAAGAGAGGTTTCTTCTTCGCGCATGTAGGTTGGCTACTTTGTAGGAAACATCCAGAAGTCAAGGAAAAGGGCAAGGGAATCGACCTGAGTGATCTCGAGAGCGATCCTATATTGGCATTTCAAAAAAAGTATGTGCGTCGCGGTATCAATCATGAATAACGTCTCTTTGATGATGAACGTATACCAGAAAGAAATTCTGATTTCAGATATTATACCGTGCTGATGCCATTGATGTGCTTTATTTTACCGACTATCATTCCGGTCGTATGTTGGAACGAGACGTGGATGAACGCTTATTTCATTCCCACTGTTCTCCGTTATGTCTTCACGTTAAATATGACGTGGCTAGTAAATTCCGCAGCACATCTCTTCGGCAACAAACCATATGATAAGTTAGTATAATTAATTAGTATTGATAATATTAATAAATTAAAATACAGTCCTACAAATTGAACTTCATATATCGTTTTTATCGATTTTTTCAAAGATTTATCTCGAATTCTCCATTCTTTATTTTTATTTTTCAATTGCTTACTTTTTGCTTACTTTTTTGTCATTCTTGTGAAAGATTAATATTATGATAGTGATTAATATTATATTTTGTTATCTATAGATATATCAATCCATCGGAAAATAAAAGCGTCGCTCTACTCGCTCTTGGAGAGGGTTGGCACAATTACCATCACGTGTTTCCTTGGGATTACAAGACAGCCGAGTTTGGCAACTACAGATTCAACTTCACTACAGCTTTCATTGATTTCTTCGCAAAGATCGGTTGGGCTTACGATTTGAAGAGTGTGTCTGAGGATATGGTGAAGAAAAGGGTAAAGAGAACGGGCGATGGCAGCCACGAATTATGGGGTTGGGGTGACAAGGATCAAACGCAAGAAGAAAGGGACGACGCGACAATTACGCATTATCATATGAAGGAACAGTAAAATTATACGCGTGAGGTTCTTTTGAATGTAAAGTTTCTTTTCACATTCATCTATAACTATTTATTTGTATGGATTTTATGACGATCTATGAAGGGTGTATTTGATTAAGCCGGCCTTCCAGGACTCGCATCTCGACATGGCATGTTTTTCAATGTGTCGTTACACGATATGTGGCATGTTTCATATAATATACGTATTCATAGATCTTCCTTGATTAAAGATCTCTTTATGAAACAAGAAAGTCTTGATCAAATGAAGAATCCTCCAATAAGGCTTCCTCAATCCTTAAGATAAGGACCATCTAGGAATACGGGCGATAGTCTCGGAAGGTTTGATAGGGATTTGGGAAGCGTCGTTTATGTAATGTCGTTAGTATTCGATCCGCTCGATAAAATATTTTTATTTACTTTGGAAGTAGCATTAAATCGAATTATATTACGTTTGAATTATATTACGTAATTATTGAATAGTTTATATTATTCGTACGATTTTTAATGCGCAATTATAACGCGAATATATACATATTATGTATATATATATATAATATATGCGTGTATGATTTGGAGAAAACAGGACTATATACTATATAGGACTATATAATTGGAATAAATTAATTTTGTACTTTAAGATAATGCGTACAATAATAATAATAATACGATGAAAAGAGAGAAAAGAGAAATATATAGTCATATATATTAAAATGTCATTAAATTTTGCTATCGCTTTTGCAGATAAAATATCTATTAATTTTTTATAAAAACTTTTAATTTTGTATGTTAATAGTATTCATAATGTATGAATATAAACGTAAAGAGAACTTAGTATATATACAGATATCAATGACAAAAAATTGTTTTTACTTTTAAATTTATATGACTAACTTTGTTGCTCAATTTTGACGTAGGTACAATTTGATGTACAATTCTACCATCTTATTTTTCAAAATCAATTATAGATAACAGTTATCAAATATCAGTGAAATATCTGCAAATGTAAAATTTGTTTACTTTTTCCTTTTCTCTTTTTGTTACGCACGTTATAGATAACGAAAATTTTTGAGTTTTTATTTTATTTGTGATACAATAAGATATTATTTGTTTCTTTATACATTGAAACATTGCCTAGCAATGTGTTTATCATATTTTTTTTATTTAATACTTTTTCGCACTTATTATATTAGTTCATAGATATCAATGGATGTAATTTATTTTAATAAATAAAATATTTATGTTTAAAGGAAAGAAATGTGTCAATATAAAAGTATTTACGCGTTGATAATAATAAACAGGATTGCATAAATCAAAACAAGCATAATTATCTACAATTATGCAATTTGCGACTTAATGATATATAATGACGTTTATACTAATAAAAAGATAATTTCTTTGATATCGATAAAATGAAAAAAGATGCAATCGAAAAATTTCACGCACAAAATTGTGTATATAAAAACGCAGCGCGTTTCGTGATTTTGTGATGCCATATTCGAAAAAAAAACTGAATGTTTCGTTAATTATAACATTCTTACGTGACTTTGACAGTCATCAAGTACCTCTCTATTCTGAAAATTTCGGCAGGATCGAACTCTTCTACTATTTCTAAAATTTTCTCTTATATATACTTTATTCTAATGACATGTGTAGACTATGTCATTGCTTTTTGTCGTGTTGTATTCTTTTTTTTCACATATAATCACGTGGAAATCGTGTAATGGGAGAATAATGCAAAGAAGAAACTTAGGGAGCTTTAGTCTTTTTTTTCTTTATTAGATTATTTTATTTATGAAACGCAATTTTACATTTTCAAATTCTAAATTATTGATCTAGATTAATCTAGAATAACAGAATCAAAAATATAAAGAGACAGCATAAAAAATCTCTATAAACTAATTGGCCATAACAAATCGCTTTGATATTGATTAATGCATTCGTCTTCAAGTTAATATTATCTCTTAAATTACAAATTTCTATATTTTGTTTATTAAAACTTTTTATAATAATTTTTATATTCAAGTTCTTGATATTTAAATTATATTACAAACACTTATTCGTCTAATATAATAAACATGAAAAACAAATGTCGCGATTGTATCGCTAAGCTAAGGATACAAAATTATTAATATCATTATTTTATTAAATATAGAAAGACGCATGATTTTAATATATTATATCCAATGACTTTATATTAATAATTAAAATGTTTAATAAAAGTATATTTTTAAATAAAAAAAGATACCTTGCACATTGTTTCCTGTGTCTTTTTATTTAATTTATATCTTGCTTTTATTCCGGTAAATCGTGATATAAAGTTAGTTGCAATGTAATAATATTACAAAATATGACGATTATTCGGTATTTTAGTTCAATGATTAATTTTTTTGTATTTATCAAATTTATTTTTCAATGGATTATATATTTTATTTCAAAAACAATATATCACGGACGAAACGATGTATGTAAAATGTATATAAATTACACTTTGTATTATCGTAAATTTTAATTGGTTATTTTGTATACATCACATATTCAAAATGTTTACTATTTTAATTGAAATTGACGAAAAAAATTCAATTATATTTTACTAAATATTAATTCGCGAAATTCTTGCGAATTCATCCTCCTAGTGATGAAACATTAATTTCTCTCTATAAGCGGTTGCCTCTGCGTTTCTTTGCATTTCTGTTAGAGCTTCTTTTAATGTTGTTTCTGTCGTGGCAACTTTGCAAAGAGCGTTTCGCACATCCTCACTGGTTGCGGTCTTCATTTCGTTGACTAATCCCAGTTCGCGCCACATTTTAACGATAAACGTAGCAAAGCCAGTCTCGTAAGTTCCAAATTCATCACTTTTCCAGTCCCAAGGTAGCTGATAATGATAATTTACCCAATATGATTTCGACAAGAAAAATACGGAGTTATCATCGACTGGGTACCTGAAAAAATGTTAGATGTCAGAATCGAGTGAAATCAACGTGTTAAGCAAAAGATTAGACTATTAATCACGAAGAATATATATTAAGAAGATATATAAAATATATGATGATTCATCACAAGACAAGTAAGATGAAACAAGAAATATCGTACTTCTATATATAGGACATTTTTATCAATACAATAATTTTTACTCTATACATTATTTCTAAGATTATGTATATAGTGTTTTTAATATAATAATCGAGAGAAAAGTATGTAACTAAAATGTACGAGAAACATTGTGCAAATATATATATATATATATATATATATATATCATATATAATTACAAAGATTTTTATTATATAACATTTTTATTCAATTTAAAAAAAGAAACGATTTAAACTTAGGGAATGCATATTATTTTACCTTTAAAATAATAATTCATACATTTATAGTAAAACATTCTTGTCAGATTTTGTTAAGTGCTACTTATACCATCCTTATCAATAATGACGGTACGATGACTTTTTGGCATTTTAAAGAAGAGTTTGTAGAAAAGCGAGATAATATAAAAAAAAGATATTAACTTAGCTCCTCTTTCCAGGCCCCAAACTAGCAAAGCGCTATTGACGAGCCAAGAAATGTGCGTGGTTACCATCAATCGTGCTGTTCCAATAATTAAAAAGCAATTAGCCAACGATTCATCAAAATATTCTGAAGGTACGTTTATTGGTAACAAAAATCCGATGATGAAGAATATCCAATAGAGCCTATGCAATATATATTTAATTTTAGTACATTATAAATTGAAATATATTATCATGTAACAGAATGTAATAACAGATTATTATAGATAATGTATATCCGGGAAAAAAATTATACATAGAAAATTATTTATACATATATATATATATATATATATATAATTAAATATACCAAATTTTCCACATCTTAACCATATATTATTGTTTAAATCCATACTGTATTATATAAATATACATATATGTATAAGTTGCCAAATTTTTACATCATTATTTTTAAATATTTTTAATATTATTTTTATTTTAAAAAAATGTGCTCTATGTTTTATATAAAATTTGAAAAACAGGACATACTTTTGTTGCGCCCAGACATATCCATCCGCTTCTACATCGCGCATATCGATGTCTCTTGCATAAGTTTTTATATCAGAGGGTGCTGTTAATAAATTGCTAATGAAATGAGAATAAAGAAATCCTTTATTGTGATTGTATGGATCTCTTTCAGTGCCATAATATTTATGATGCATTCTATGCCAAAACACCCAATCGTGTAGCGGACCCTGCAAAAAGATTTTTATAACTTTTATAATTTATATTTTTCACATTATATTTTTTATATATATTTAATATTATATATATTTAATATCAACAATCTATTGGAGTAAATGCTATAAAAATAAAAAAATTTTTAAGAAATTCGATTTAATTCTTTATAGCTAATATAATTTTTATATAGTCATTCTCTATACTACAAACGCTTTTGCTTAATATTAATATATTTTTAGATATATACTCCTCAAAATAATTAAGGAATCAAAAAAATTGTCTAAAAAATAAGCAAATTTTAAATAGCTGTAACTTTGTTGAGATTTCAAACTTTAAAACACTTTTTTAAAATTTAAATGATTATTTTCGAAACAAAGCTACAGCTATTTAAAATTTGCTTATTTTTTGGATAATTGTTTTTACTCCTTAATTATTTTGAGGAGTGTATATTAATCCAGCGTTTTAATCATGATTAAGTATATAACAATATATGCATATTTATTATTTTGTGTCACATACTGTTGAAATAATTAACATGACACTTTTAATTATATAATAACAGTTACATATGGATGAATGAATAATCACATATGAATAATGATGATAATTACATCACGCAATCATTGTTTTTTTATATAGTATTGAAAATATGGTTTATATAGGATATGATAAAACTCCTTTGTTATCTCGCTATTCTAGAATACAAGATATATAGAATTCGGTTAGCAAAAAAATGTGGGGAGTTAAGTTATACCTTTTAAAAGGCAAAATAATGGCTAATGATATGTACATGTTAATAAATAATATTTAATAATACGAGAAAATATAAATATAAAGAACAATATCCCAAATAACAAACTGACGTCATTTTGACGTTTAATGACGTCAGTTTGTTACTTGGGATTATGAGTATTTTTTATTTTAGAATTTATATTATTATCTATATTTTTTATTACTCTACTTAAAACAATATTGAATATTTTAAAAGTCAATATAAATATTTTATTAACGTAAATCTTACCACGCCAGCAAAAGTATGTAATAGCACAATGAAGAATTTAAGTTGCCACGTTGCAGCAAAAGTTTGATGTGCATATAATCGATGCGCACCAGCTGTCAATCCTATTGAAGTGATAGTAACAAGGAATAAAACTGAAACCCGCAAAATACCAGACCATTCGTCAAATAATCATCAGAAAAGAAGATATTAATATTTACCATATATGTTGCCAAAAGAACATACATATTAGCAGAAAATTTTGTATTTGAAAAATACATTCTACTTTCACATTTTGTATTTAACGCAATACTTAGTTGCAACAATCGCAACTGACAGTGTCTATATTTTGTTCGTACAACAGATTCTCATTTCAACAATTCCAAAATAAACTGATATTAGATATTAGATAGAGAAAAGATTAGAAAAAGAGTTAATAATTCTATTTACATACATTTTTCTATCATATAATTCTATATGTAATAAGAATGTTATATACTCACAATAAAAAACTGTTATCCATTTAGCTCTGGTAAATAAAAATAATAATCCTGCGATTCCTAGCACATGAAGATATAAGTAAAAAAGGACAACGGCCCATCTTACAGATCGCTTTTCCATTTCATTGTTAGTGCTTTTCTCTTCTTTAGTTTCCTTCATAGCAATATATTACGATTATAACGATTCTACCGACAAAAAGAACCATACGAATTCATATATAAATAATTTTATATGATATTAATAACTTGATAGTATTTGATAGTAACAACAATAATAATTTTTTAATCATAATTAATCATTATTACGTCTTTGCTAAGAAGTTGTAAGAGTAAAAATTAAAGACATGAGATTAATGACACAAAAAGATTAAGGTTTTATACAAAATATCAAAGTTTTATCTTATATATATGTGTAATTTTTTATGTACAAGTGTTTATCACAGTAATAAAAACTAAAGTTATTTAAAAGTTCTCCGAAAAATGAAATTCTAACTGGACGCGTGAGTGATAAAATCGTTGGATGTTTTGAAAATAAATAAAAGTAGAAAAGTAATTACGAATGAAAGTACTCTGTTATAAAAAAAAATAATATCTTCGAATCTTACTTCTCGGAACAGTATTATATTGAAACGTACTTCTGAAAGGCTGGAAACACACTATACGGTAAAAAGCTGGAACGGGCTCCAACGCTGAGGATGTTTCGACCTTACGACCCTATTCGGAATTTCATTATCAACAAAAATGAGTTAATTTTCCCTAGTCATTTCCTGTACGCGAAACCTTGATACCATTTATCGGTCGTATGTAGAGTGATATACAGAATTTCTTAAATAAATTTATTGTCATAAAATTTCTTGCTTTTCATGCATCAGGTCATAAAATTTCCTGTTCATCTTCATATTTGATCAATCATATATCGAAAGTTATATCTGCAATGTACTCTGCATGCTTTAAGCAATTTATTAATTATCTATGCAGTAATTGACATGCAGTAATATGTATATTTTAATATCTTCGAAAATTCATTTGAATTATCCGCAGAAAATATTTCGTGAAGATATAAGTAAATGCACTTTCCGCAAAAAATAATATGGAACTTTAGATATTTTTGAAGAATCATACTTAAGTTATTAGAAGAGTATTTTCCAAAGAAGTATGAGTAGTGTATTTCACGAGCAGTAATATAGTTTTTAATACATAAAAATTAATTTCTGAGTTATTAGAAGAATATATTTTACAAAGAAATCGGTGGAAATTCTTATATTATCTTATATTAACGGCACGCCGTTTTAATAACATAAATATTTCGTTTAATATAAAAGTTTCAATAATTAATTGTCTTATAAAATATCAATGAAAGAAATTTATGTTTAGACATAACAATAATTCCATGAATTAAAATTATATCGCGACATAATAATAATTCCGAATTTTTATTATGTCTCGACATACATGTAATTGGAATTCACCGAATCTTTATTATGTCGAAACATAATTTTAATTCACCGAATTTTTATTATGTCTCGACATAATTTTAATTCACCGAATTTTTATTATGTCTCAACATAATTTTAATTTAGCGAATTTTTATTATGTCGAGACATAATTTTAATTTATCGAATTTTTATTATGTCTTGACATAATAAAAATTCTTGAATTATTATTATTATGTTGCGATATAATTTTACTTTATCGAATTTTTATTTTACCGCGATACCTATAACTGATCGATGAATTACAATTATGTCGCGACATGATAAAAATTCTATGAATTAAAATTATGTCTGGATTTAAAAAAATTCTCAATTTTTATTATGTCTCGATATAATATTATGTTGCGACATAATAATAATTCGATGAATTAAAATTATATCGCGACATAAAAATGATTCGGTGAATTAAAATTATGAAAGTACAGTTTTTCCGTCAGCGAATCTTGTCATAACTTATTACTCCTTGTACGCTGGATTTGATAAATTGACTTTTTGATTTGCGGCATGCTTGATAATTTCGAGCTTCCGATCCTGTAGATATGATGGGCTAAAATTTTTGTATGAATTTTGAAAAGTATCACAAACCGTATGGTCAAAAGGTAAATAAAATTTCATCTAATTTTTGAAGCCAGTGTAGTCAATTAAATTTATTATCCGGAAATTAAAATTATGTCCAGACAATAAAAATTCGGAATTATTATTATGTTGCGATATAATTTTAATTCATGGTATTATTGTTATGTATAAACTTAAATTTTTATTGATATTTTATAAGACAATTAATTATTAAAACTTTTATATTAAATAGAATATTTTTTGTTAGTAAAAAGTAAAACGACGTGGTTTACCCTCACTTATTAATAAATGAAAGAGTGCGTTTAAAATATAGAAAAACATGAATAGAATTATCTTCAGTTCGATAAAAACAATATTAAGAAAACAGGTATCAATACATAACGTGATATATAACGTGGTATATAAATTGCGACTCTAAAATTTCTAAAAAATTAATTATCACTTTAGTAAAGAGTAAAACTAATTAAAAAATGCAAGAACGGCTTTTTAAGTATGGGAAAACACGAATAAAATGATCCTCCGTTTGATATCAAAAAATATTAATAAACGTGTGTCATGACAATATTTATTTTGGTTCCCAAATCGTGACCATAAAACTATGAAAATATTATATATCGCCTCTAATCACTAAAACTTATTAATAAATGCAAGAACACATTTGGAAATATGGGAAAATACGAATGAAATGATCTTCTGTTCGATAATAAAAAATTATATTTATTTTTTTTTCAATGAAACTTTGTTACAATATATTTAAAGTACAGAAAAGTGCTTTATCAAGAACATTATTTTAAAATGATATAATTTTCTTTCATTTTTTATTTTTAATAGAAATGGTACATATATATTTTGTATATATTCAATTAAAAAATCATCTTTAGGGTGGCTCTCATTAAAATTAAGAAAATTTTGGATATTATTTCTTTGCTGAAGGTTAAAAGAAAATATTTTAAGAATAAGTATGTAAATTTATCGAAAAATATATCAGTTTACAATAAAATGTTCGGTTCGTTTACATTAATACTTGTACTTTGTATTACAGTAAATTAGAAATTTTCATACTGCAACTAAGATTATAATAAATAACAATTATATACGTATATTATATATATATATATATATATATATATATATATTATATAATATAATGTATAAACAGTGGCTTCTTATATCGCAAACAATGAACTCTCGATTATACGAATTTGTAATTTGTCAATCGCGTAGTTTTAATACTTTGTCTTAAAATTTATTATCTTCTTTAAATAGTAACTTTATAGATAAATTTCCTAAATAACTAGGAATATATCAAATTTCATTTTTTTTCTATAAATTTTATTAAGAATTTTTTACAATAAATTTTATAACATATCTTCGATCTTATTTATGGTCTTCGTAGTTCAAAGAATAATTTTCTGTTCGCGAATTATAATCGAGAGTCAACTGTTTTATTGCGCTTTTATTTTGCGTAAAACTTTTTATTAAATAATCATAATTATTAAAATATAAATATTTTTCGGCAATATAGTACTCTGGGCGTGGAACTCAAAATCACAGAGAGTCACAAATCTGCATATCAGTTTTACTTCAGTTCTTATTTCTTAAGAGAGATTTGAGATGGTCCGCATATGAATTAGAGAAACTTTGCTTCTCCAAATATTTCCGGTCCGTCCGAAAGGATCGTGATGCGCTTTCATCTCTTCTCAGTCTCACAATTCGTGATTATTCATCATGTCTAATTCTGCCTGATCGTCCTTCGAGATGTCGATGTCACCGTAACCCCAGACGTGACTACCATCGCCGCATCGATGCGCTCTGCGATAAATCATCTCCGGCAAGACGTACTTCCGATCGTAGGCCCAGCCGATGCGTGCAAACGCGTCAATAAAACCGGTAGTGAGGTTGAACGGGTAATCACCCAATTCACTAGTCTTATAGTCCCATGGAAACACGTGATGATAATTGTGATATCCCTCGCCGAGCGACGCGATCGATACCGCGAAGTTCTCGACCGGCGAAATGTTCCTACAAATTATCATATCAAATGGTTGACATTTAGGCGGAATTTGCATCGCGCGAAACAAATTATCGGATAAATAAATCTGTTAATTCTCGATCGTTCTAATCTTTGAGAAAATGTGTAACCACAGTTTTCTTTTTAGTGGTTCACTATGAATCGATACGTACTTGTCATAGGGTTTCTGTCCCCACATGTGCGCCACGCTGTTGACGCAAAAGGCTATATTCAGATTTATGCAGAACCGGAAGTTGAAGTTCACCCAGAATGAGATCCATAGCGATTCTGACCAGAAGTAACAAGGAATAAATACCGGTAATCCGATAGTCAGGAGCGCAAATAGAGGTATGTATAATCTGCAAGATAAATTAAATAAATGTAAAATTGATTACATGTTACAGCTGAAAAGGAAATAATGAAGTGAACATTTTCTAAATGATATATAAATTGATAAGGTGTCTTTTTTATATACATACATATATCAAAAAAATAGACAAATTTTAAATAGCTGTAACTTTGTTTCAAAAAATAATAATTTAAATTTAAAAAAGAATTTTAAAATTTGAAATCTTTACTTTCGAAAGGTCATAGCTTTTTTCATTTTTTTTTCAATTCTGATATTTTTACATACAGAAAACGACGAACATAACAAAATGGAAAATTTTTTTCTCACTTTGTATGCATGTCGCATACACAAGATTTGAAAAAAATTTTAACATTTTCACGTTAAAGCTTAAAGTTTTGCAAAATCGTTTTTTAAAATTTAAATTTCGATTTTTGCTTATCAAGTTATCGTAATTCGAAAAGGAAATGTAATTTTTACTTTAATCGTTCATAACTGTTAAAAATCACAGCAATTTAAAGAATGGATTCTTAAAGCTGCATCTTTGCTCTATAGTATGATATAGTGACTGAATTTTTTTTTAACTCGTGAACTTTTTACAAATAGATGAAAATAATTTTCTCCCTTTTGTTTAAACCTTGTAATGTAAACATTATCGGAATTGAAGAAAATGACAAGAGCTATGACCTTTCGAAAGTAGAGATTTCAAGTTTTAAACCCCTTTTGTAAATTGTCATTTTTCGAAACAAAGTTACAGCTATTTAAAATTTGCTTATATTTGGACAATCTTTTTGATCCCTTAATTATTTTGAGGAGGGTATATATATATAATTTCACATGAAATGATAATTCACCTTTTCTGCCACATAACTATAGAATCCGCTTCTAAGTCGCTCATGTCGATTGCCTTGCGCTTGGCGACGACGTCGGGATGGGGTGTCGTAAAAAGCCACCCCACATGAGCGAAGAAGAAACCTCTCCTTACGTCATGCGGATCCCCGTCGGTTTCACTATATTTGTGATGCACCCTGTGGTCCAACGCCCAAGTGTACACATCTTTCTGTATAAAAAATATATCGTTAAAAAGAGTCCTTGAAGAAGATTAATTATGTCGATATATTGTCAAATATTTACGAAGACGTAAAAGTTGGAATATTTTTCGGGCGATAACGATGCGTCACTTATTATTTCCATCTTTTAGTAGTGACGATAAAAAAATATTATGCGAGAATCATATAGTTGTTATGTAAGAGCTTACGTACTTGTCCTGTTATCGTAAAGAGGAAGACTAGAAGTAGACGCAGGGGCCACTTTGCCTTGTAAGCCTTGTGCGACCATAATCTGTGAACGCCAGCCGTAATTCCAAAGCCGGACGTATAAATAGTTACGAACGCTATAAGTATAAAAAGACACAAATAATTCATCAAAATGTATATTCAAAAATATACGCATTCGGATTATTAAAGAGAAGTAATGTAAAGTATCCCAAGACTCATTTACTGAGAATAGGAGTTTGCGATTTCACTCATTATTTGTAATGACTCCAAATTCTTGGCAAGTCAGCTCACGCAACACACGCACATATATTGGATAATTTTTTAAGCCATTGTAACTTCATTTTTGTTTATATTTTTCAATTTTGTCAAATATTCTCATATATATTCTTTCGTGCATTTTTTAACGTCGATTTTGACAAAAATAGAGAATTTTTAAAATTACGTGTTAAAAAGAAAAGTAGTAAAAGCATAAATAAGAGTAAGCATAAATAAGAGTAATTGAGATAAATAAGTTAATTCAGTCGTGCAGTGTTATCGTCTTTCCTCACATTCTTCAATTACGAGGAACGAGAAGCTATATCTACCATGTCTCGGAACACGTCATCGCAAATGTAGAAATCTGAGATCATGGTATCGTTATCGCGAGGTTTACTTTTCCGTTTTCACGCTGGCGAGACTCGCTAGCTGGCTATAAACGTCAGTCGCGGTTACACGTGGGGTTGCGTAATCACGTCCCGTTATCGTGCCTTCCCCCATATACTTTATTTCATCGTATGCGTACGCGCGTTTCCACCCTGTCATTCATTTTCCATGCCGTGTGTGAATCAAGCTCCATAGAATATAGGATAAGTTATATACGTACTAGACATATCGGTGTACGACGAGAATTTATTTTCAGGCGCCCGACGTCTCGGCGCTTTTGCATATGCATGAACTGGACCTTTATGGCTACATCGATAAACGTTTCGATTTCGACGTGGAAAATTAACACGAGCGAAAGGGCGAGAAAGAAACTGCAAAGGAGTTGGGTCAATAAGGCGGGTTTTTGGGCCCCCCACTGATCGGCCTCAAAGTGTGCCATTTTATTCTTCTATCCAAGCCTCATAACGCCCTGCAATAGTTTTTCTCAAAAGTGACTTGATCCGGAGAAATAATCATTCTTAAGTTTCCATTTTACAGGGGTTTTTGTACTTTAAAAAAAATTTCGTTTCATACCCTGAATGTCGAATCCGGATGATCAAACTCTCCCAAAAAGTGCACATATATATGCACTATAACAATGTCAGAGCCATCATTTAACGTGAGGTACTTGACCTTCAAAAAGAGGCTTATTTGAGTCGGGTCAATAAGACGGTTTTTTCTGGAATTAATCCGGCCAGTGAAGACAAGATCTCGAAATGATCCGGCCAACTAAGACAAGCTCTGGAATTAATCCGGCCAGTGAAGGCAAGATCTCGAAATGATCCGGCCAGCGAAGGCAAGCTCTCGAAATGATCCAGCCAACTAAGGCAAGTTCTGGAATTAATTGGGGGCCCAAAAACTCGCCTTATTGACCCAACTCCTTTACATTACAATTGAGAGTATAAAATAGAAACGACGTTAAAGACGTAAGAAAGACTGACTTGTTCTTGGTATGAATTTTTTTTCGTTTATAACAAATAATTATTTATATATAATCACCCCGGAAAATAATTATAAAGAACAATATTTAATATGTATTTAGCTAAACTATTTATGTGTTATCTACTACGTGATTCGTTCAAAACGTAATCGTGGATTGCGTTATAAAAATGGCAAGTAGATAAAAAAGCTCGTAGATAAAAAGCAAATCGATATAGTTATTACCGGTGTAATTATATTCGATATAATTATGGATGGTGTGGAGCTTATAGCTTCAGCTTCCCAACACTTGGACATTATGTATCATAATTAATTGTAAACAATGTGAAATTACAGGCGAGTTATATTCATGTGTCATCGCAATCACTAACAAACTAATGTTTACCTCCAACATTCCCACATTTCAAGGATCATTCTAGACACGTAAAAAGGTTCTTACATCAATTTATATATCATTAATTGTGCATAATTAATTTAAAAAATCATGAAAAATATGATTAAAAAATTATTATAAATAAATTATGATATCAAAAGATGAAACGTATTTCAAGCTCGAATTATTATATAAAATTATTAAATAAACACTTCAATTGCAGAATTAAAAATAACACATGATAGAGAGGATATACAAGTCATTATTTATTCGATATTACGATACGATACTAGTCGATTTTTAATAGATAATTAATAGGATTAACAAAATGATTAAACTAGATTGTAAAATCAAATATCGCGCTGTATTACATATACATCTATTTATATACTGATTATTTTATCTTTCTAATATATTTCTATCTAGACTTTGGCAACAGATGTTCAGAATGCAAAAATCCTTTATCAGAGCACAGTTGTTACACAGTCTGTAAAATTCGCGAAAAGACATCCATGTCGAATTGTGATGCTGCGGTAAAAAAAATGTATATACAAAAAATGTATTCTTTTCATAGAGTAAGCGAGCCTCGCGATATTCGTATTAAATATTATAATATTGAAATCGCGAAAGTGTACATAATGAATGATAAGTGAACCAACAAAATTCCCTCACCCCATATCGACGTAAGCAATTTCGCTTGCGCGAACACCAGGTACAGCCCGTAGAGAAAACCGCCGTGTATAAAGATTTGCGCGCCAAGATCCAGCCACTTGATCTTCGGTACGTACGCGACCTTGGCCGTTGACTCATCGTCCTTGAGGACCTCGTCATCCTTCTGGATGTTGTTCGAGCTCGTGGTCTGTCTCTTCTCGAGCGTCGGACTGCAGATATCCATCATCGGCGGTGTCTTTTCCTCATCCGGTGACATCCTCGCTTCTGGTCGCGTCTTCGCGATTATCTGACAAGCATGTACCCGAATTATTAGTCGCCGATAAGCCCGCCGTTGATAAGCCTTCCGGCACGCGAATCAGCTCAGCCGCTGCTCTGCATTTCAAGTAGCTTTCTCGAGGTTGGCCAATAACGTGTGACGTGATTTATCGGTTCTATTCCGTGGAACTGATAGGACTGTGCTTCAGAAATTTTCAAAACAACGAACAGTACTCTGAAAGGAGAGGATATACATATCGTTAAATCTCAACGATACAAAGCAACATAGAAAACTTCAACTTTATTTCAAAGAATCTGTTAATGAAATGAATGGCAAGATTTTTTTTTATTAATATCTTTTATGTTGACTTTGAAAATCTTTTAATTCCGCATGAAATATATTCTATGATAAAAACGAATTGCAGTTCCTGTAATTCTTACGATAAAATTATTTGCTTCCAGATATTTTTTAAAATTCGTCACCAAACAATTATTTATTCTCCATATATTATTTTGTTCTATTATTTCATAATAATAAGTTATTATATTTACTATTATTTAAACCAGTCTTTATCAGTGCATTTATCTTGATCAGTGCACGTGCAGATTAACTTTTTATAAGCATTGATCGATCAATTATATCGATGTTGGAATGATATCAATTATCTATTAGAACACATATACTAGTTCAGTCTTTTTCTTCTAACCAGTGAGCCTAATAATATTTTTGAAATCATACGATTCATGTAAATTCGAGGCAAGGTTGCGTCTTATTAACACTATGTTACGTATGTCTCGGCATGTAAATCAGTCGAGCATAACCGCGAGAATATGTTTTCTATACTTCAACTATGACAAATACATGATGATCTGCGAATATCCTCGACCTAATAATCAGGCATTAACATAGTAGGACTATTTGTGAGTTATCTTGTACAATTCATATATGTATGTAGATCCATAACGTGAGTTATACATATTAATACATCGAATATCCGGAAGTGGATGAAAGATTATTATTTACAGTGTGACAATAATTTAATTAAATTTATAATTTTCGGAAAAATATTTATATTCATAACGTACAAAATTATTTATCTAAACCTACTAATACTGTTTCGATATGTTTGACATTTTTTAAATCAAAATATAATTCGATGAAAGAGTGAATATATGTAAATTTTAATCTAAACTATATCATATTGACAGTAATAAGAAAAATCTATTTATTGTTCTCATCAGAAACGTTAATATGTAGCGATACATAGCAATCGTAAATATGTTTCATAATATGTTAACTTTTATCGCGACGTAGCAAAATCGTATAACCCGGCACAAAAACTAAAATTAAAAAACCAAACTCATAAAATGTAAAATCCAATGAATATACTTGGCAATCTAATTTGTAAGAGACGATAACAATGCAGTAAAGTGACGCTATCGCTTAAAACGCAGTAATACTTTATACATTACGTAGGCATAGCATGTAATAAAAATTACGTAATTGTTTCACACAATGACTATTATGTATATATATAGTCATAAATAAACACACATATCGTTATTTTTGTAATTAGAAATGCAAGCAATCTTAAAGTAGAAATGATAACTTTAAAATAATTTAAATGCTTAAACTTTTATATATAACTTACGTAGAAATTACGCAATAAAACTTTAATCGCAACAGATTTTTTTCGTCTGCTGTTGTCGTAAGGTGACTTATTTTTTGCCCGAAGGTCGCTTATGACACAATACAATATTTTTTGATAATTGGTTATGCATTTGAACGCCGATGTCAAATTTCGAAACAATGACAAAAGACTCGATCCATCAATCAACAAACTTCAACTCGAAAATAATTTTATTACGTCTTTTATTATTTTGTTATTGCCTTGTGTTTTTTCCCTCTAGTCTAGTAAATGATAATAAATCTAAATTATTCTCAAAATGTAAACAATTCGTTATGCAAGTATAAATATTTATTTATTATTTATTTTATAATATTATATTGAAATACATACACATATACATATATGTATAGATTGGGATTAAAGATATTTATTACATTGCGTTAGAAAATTTTTGATGTTCGAAGAAGAATTTGAGAAACGTAACTTCAACATTTTAAAACAATGTTAATTGCTACGGATAATAAATTTAAAAAATTGCAACGCATATATAATAATAATAATAATAATTTATTATAAAACTTTATTATATAATTAGTTATGTAAATCTCCCGGACTTGATTATATAAAGCGAGAATAAAGTATAGATATTAAGTAGAGGCATTAAAAATAGTTTAGAAGTAAGAGTCGAAGGGTCATTGAAGGTAAGTGTGTGCAAAGACGAGAAGAGAAGATTTTTCGGTAAGAAATATTAGTTAGTAGTAGAACAACGAGAGGTAAACTGGAAAAAGAGGATAAGCAGAGAACTTTAGATTTGATATGTAAATCTCCTGAGTTGAAACATTTAAAGCAAAAAGTATATTCTCGTTTTCACGCCCTCTTCTGCAACCCTTTCTTCGACTAGGAATTCGATCGATCGACGTCCTCGAGAGCTCTGGCTCTGAAGAACGCATATTTGCGTCGCGACAGTCGCAATAACGCAGTGCCCGTATCGCCGATACTTGGTTACATTCTTAATGTTCTGGTGGTTGTCATAAACGCACGTTATGTGATATGACTTTTTTTTCAGTCGACCGATCTTATATTCCGCTCACAATGCATTGAGGCTAAGCAAAACACGACCGAGAGATTTATGACAAAGCGTGATGTAATCCACGCCGCCGATTCTCGTCCTATTTTGAAATCTGTTGGGTGTCAAAAAAAATGACATCTTTTTATAGTACGATTATATGCAAAATATATATAGTTATGTTATTATAGGAAATGCACACGTATATATATTTTCAAACCAACACGTAAGAGAAACGAAATACTATCTTCATGAAAAAAGATTATAAAATATAAAAAATTTAAAATAATATTCATATTTCATATACAGACTAATATTCTGATAAAAACTAAAAAAAATATTATATGTAATTTTTCCTGTATGTATGAAATTTAAAATGCTATATTCTGTTTTAGAATTAAATATCTTGATAGAAATCTAACCCCGAATTTAAACTCAGATTTTAAACTAAAATTGGATTTATCTAAAGTTAATAAAACAATAAGATTTATTTATTTGCATTCACATTATTTATTTCTTGAATAAATAACACAAAATAGAAGATTGTTTGCCTTTTTCTCTCTTCTAAATTGTATTTCAAATTATTCATGTTCACTTTTCGCATTTGAAATATATAAAGTTATCTAATTCCTTTCAAAGAAATATTATGACATGTATCAAATATATATTTATTTCATTATATAAATATTCTGTATATAAATATGAATTTCTCTCTTTTTCTCTCTTGTTAGCGATTCGTTATATTTAGGAGTAACGCGATAATAAAGAAGTTGATTGCATTTTTTACATGAAAGCGAAAAATATTTATTTACGTAAGAAAGTGTTATCTTGACCTCAGGCATTTCGATCGGCTTAATTATATGGGCACCGATCCTATTATGAAGACACTCTTTCTGCGAATTTAAAGGTCAATTCGCAGCGGGAATATGGACTTTGGAATTTGCATCAAAAATATGTCTACATCAATCAATCTCCTTCCGTTACATAAATGTTGCGCACAATATAAGCAATAAATCTGACTTTAGACAATTTTTTGTTTATTTCTTTAAACTTATCAAATGTGTGATATAGATAATTCATCCAAAATTCAAAATATTGCTTTAAAAAAGGAGATAAGCCATTATTTATAAAAATATCGGCATATTCGTAGTCTCTTTTTAGGATTTCTTTTTATTAAATATATGTGCGATTATTTAATCAGACAAGGTTGTTGAGATATTCAAATTCAAAACAATGTTTCTTATAAATTATTCAATTTTTAATATATTTTTACATAATCATTGATACATGTATGTGCATGTGTATACATCCTATTAATTTTTTCATATAATATATTATATATTTTTTAATTTTTTTGTGTGAGATACTCATTGTCAAATTACATATTCTCATAATTATTAGCAACAAATAATATTTTTACAAATTTAGCAACATAATTATAAATTTCAAATAGTGTTTATATAGGCAGATGATATTATATGCAATATAACGTAATGATTATTATCATACACGCGACATTATATACAACTCGTTATCTAATTGCGAAAATTGATCCGCGAGATTCAACACAGCACGTGCGATATCTGCTTCAATTGCACCGCATATGATCGATATTTTGAATATCATAATTTCAATCTTTGACAATGATAAATGTATACATGTAGAAATATGATGTCCCGTCACAACACAGTATTTTATTCTTTCCTCTTGACCTCCTTTTATTGCAAATTATGTTATTCTTAATTCATTTAATTGTCTGCAAACTATTCAACTATGCAATTCTTCAATATTGTTTTGCGTTTTTCAATATTGCATTTTTGTGCCGAGTTATTAACTTGAATTATTTAATAATCATTATGAAAATTATTTTATTATTATTATTATCATTAACAAAATTATTTTATACACTCTACTATATTTTTTCTGTTTATATCTAAATTAATTATATAATTTATATATAAAATTTAAATTATATAACGATATAATATAATTAATATTGGAAAATAAATTGTATTTTTTTCAGAGTTGTGAATAGATTCACGCTTTACACCCGTTATAACGTCGGAAATAAGATAAATGCGTCATCGGTGGCGCCATAGAATATACATAAAGTATGTACAAATGTAGATAAAGGGAATGATTTAATTTTCGTATTGGTATAAAGTCGTTCACATTCTCGCACTTTGCATTATGTATTTTGTATAATTGCTTTAATTCTCAATAGAAAGTGACAAATTATCTTGCTGAAGCGTTTACATAAAAATTATAAAAATACAATTTTTAAAATTTTATATTAGTATATTACATTGCAAACTTTATATTACAATCAAATATGAAAAATAATTTTGCTCTTTTATAATATGCCAACCAATTAATTTATTCTTTCTTATGATCGACCAATTAATTAGATTAATCTCAATTAGGATTCGCAGAGAAAGAGAAAAGATGAGCAAAACGATGAGCTTTTATAGAGTTTTTAGAATTAAATGTGTATATTTTTTACTCGTATATATTAAAAATATAATATTAAATAATTGA